AAAGTGTGCAGCGATATGGCAGAAGGAAACAAGATAGAAACTGATTAGATAGGTGGTCCAAGACTTGAGTGGACGGGAGTGATACAGCTTCAATGGGTCTACTCGGATTCGGCAAGCGTGAAGCGTGAAGAGAAACAAGGGAAGAAAGGAAAACGTCTATATAGGGAAAACCCAATACAAACTGGAGAATATTATAAAATATAATATAATTAAGTTATCAAATATGTACATATATACTATATATTCAATGTGTAATCTGACTACACAAGCTGCTGTGCATTATGCAGAGTCCTATCAAAATATTGTGTACTTCGTCTCCTGGCTGCAGCTGCGAAGCTTTTCGTTTTCTCTTTATTTGTATTTATTTTTTATGTTATCTCATGGGGTTGAATGTGCCTGTTGGCATTTGCCATTTTAATGAATACATAATTAGTCTTTTTGCTAACCATTCAACCTTGCACACCCTCACACACACACACACACACACACACATACAGAGAGAGACTAATGCAGCTGCTCTTGTGCACCTGCTCAAAATTCATTCATTCATATATGAATTTTCATGCAACATGCAGCAGCACGTCGAGGTTTATCAAAGGCTTTTGTGTTAGTGTGCAAGTGTGTGTGCGCGTGTGTGTGTGTGCTTTCAGCTATCTGTGTCCGTTTCGTGGGCTCCGCATTGCTTATTGGTTCGTTTCCAGGCTCTTCTCATGCAATATTGAGATAATGTTTGCCCTGGCTCATAATTGCAAGGATTACGCTCATAAAGTTGGACAGAGCAGGAGCGGGTGCAGGAGCAGGAGCCGGAGCAGGAGTGCTTCACTGTTTGCATTTCACTTGCAAATGGCGGAAATGTGAGAGATGAGTGGAGACAGAGAGGGGATGGGAGGGGCAATTGCTATTTGCTGATAGCGTTTATTTAATATTTAATTGATTTTATGCCCAAGCGATTTTTCCATTAGCCTGACACACAATTCCAGTTACAAATACCCACGGCTACGGCAACGGCTACCTGAACAGACAGTTGGCTTATTGTTGAGTGCACGTGTGTGTGTGTGTGTGGGTATGCTTATCTGATTACTTGCTTGTTGGGCATAATTAAGATAGTATGAATGGGCTTTAAATTGCGAAAATGCGACAACAAATTCTTGCCATGATTCGCAGCCCGTATGGATTTTAAGCTGATAAATTTAACTGTAGTTCTCTGTAGTTCTCTGATTCAGTTCCATGTGTATCAGCTGCAAACACAAACTGTTTAACCCTTTAACCCACTCGCAGAGTGCCGTAATCAGGCTAAACAATGCAAGCCACACGCTCGAACCACTAACCACATGAACCACTAAACAAGCGTCAGGCCGCAGCGCATCAACATCAGCAGCAGGATTGCCACCAGCAGCGGCAGCGGCAGCGACTGCGGCAGCTAATCATAATTATCGGCGACATCATTTGAATATTGTGCTGGACAACGGCACGTATACGCAATGTGGTTGCTCGCTCTTTAAAGCAGCGAGTGGGGAAACTCCGTAAGCCGCAGCCTAGCCTCGCCTCGCATTGCTGGACTTTTTCAGCAGAAACTTTATTGCCCAAAGGAGCCAAAGCGGAGCGACGGAAGCAGCCCATAAATATATCATGAAATCAAAAACTTTGCCACAACTTTGCCGAAGCTCTCTCCCTCCCTCCCTCTCGCTCGTTTGACAGAGCGTGTTCCCTTTGATTGGTGGTGCGCCACGGCAAGCTGTGGGTGTTGTGCCACTCCTGCTCCTCCTGCCCCACTTAACCCCACTGCCAATCAGTTGCGTGTGTAAACGTGCTGTGCAACAGACAGCGAGAGAGAGAGACAGAGAGAGAGCTGAGTAATGCGCTTCCGTTTCCGGCTGTCCATTTGGCTCAGCTCTCGCCACATGACGCTTGGTCACAATTCCGGCTGCTGCTGCTTGCTCCGGCCGGAGTAACTGCCTCTTGGATACACTCAATTCAATAAAACTTGTGTCCATTTAATTTAAAATTCTCTCTCTCTACTCGCTCTCTCTCTCTCTTTCAGTCGCTCTCCTGCTGGCCTTTGGCTTGGGCAAATTAATGGCGTTAAAATTAGTGCCATAGACAAATTCCGCACTTGGCACCTGACCAGCAGCTGTCCGTGCAAAGTTTACCTTTTTTTTTTGCTCCTCTCTGTTTATTTGGTTGTCACTTTGTGGCTAAATTATGCCGGGTCCGGGCCACTGGGAGTTGCTGTTGCTGTTGTTGCGACACGTGTAACTGTAGCTCTAAGTGGCTGGCAACCTTTCAAAAACTTTTGCATTCAGCTCGCATCTTAAAGCTCTGCTCTTACATTTTACCCACATAGAAAACTTATATATTTCCGGATTTTGTTTGTGTTTTGCAGCACTGAACGTTGGCAGACGTCCGGAGCAACGGGACCGTCGCTTTTTTGGCATTTTACGCGCCGGCAAGCGAAAGGACGCCGGTAAGTGGGCAAGTGCTCCATGGAACCCTAATGAAACCAATTAAGCAAACAGCCAGCCATACAATTTGTGGCACTGAGGCAGCACAAAATGAAATATCAAAGGGCTAGACAAAGGGTAAACAAGCTGTCCAACTGCACGGCGTTTCGGTGTCCAATTCAATTACGCAAATGCTACATGTAACGAGCCAGCGAGTCAAATTCAACGAATTTGAAATGCGCTGCCAACACTGTGG